TGCTTTAAAGTACGGCTACAGAGTTAGCTGCAAAAAACATTCAGTGCTAATGATTAACTGCTTCCCCCAACTCATCATGGCTGTAGGGGATATGAAAGGAAGGAAGACAGTTTGCCAAGTTGATGCCTTCTAGAGACCATCTTCAGGTTTTTGGCCATGTGACGGCAATAGTCCCATAATTGGTAGTGCTTTTATCCAGGAAGAAATTGCTAAAAATGTCACCTGCTACTTAACCTCTCAGTCATTTGCCTACTTGTGTTGACCCATAGAAAATAATGGTAAAAAACAATGTAAACTGTTAATCAGTTTGGTGGTGTCCTCCCTCTTGAGAATACTTCGGGGAATCATTAAAAAGATAAATATTTTTTTTTCATTAGAATAATTCTTATTACAGTATGCCCTGGGCACATGGGCTGCTGTGAGCACAGCTCTGGTGCCTTTGAGAGGTGGCAGAGAGGCACATGCCTCTCAGCGGTTCTGTGTTTATGCTAGAGCTGCTGTGGCAGGAGAGCCTTCCTAAATGATTTCCTAAAATGTGAAAAGCCTGAGTTAAATATCTGGCTTACCTTAAAATTCATTGGGAAAATGGTCCGGCTAATCTGGGGTTTCTGTCATTGCGAATGAATGCTTTTCCTGAAAGTTCTTGTGGTTTTATTCTGGAAATGTTTTGTTGTCTTTCAAATAGGAAATAAAAGCATGCTTAGAAACACCATCATTTTCCAGAAAATAAAATCTGTTTTCCAGCCACCCTGAATTCATAATGAAGTAACTGCAACTCTTTACTCACTTTTTAGCAGATAAGTGTATGGCTACCAAATGAAGTGAAATTTGATTCAGTAGTGCCTCTTGTTCCCAAGACAACCAGGTGAGCTTTAAGGATAATAATATCACACAAGCACATAGGTGTTATGTCTTGAAAAAAGGCAGTGTATCACTTGGACTCAGAAATTCTAGTGCCCAGGAGAAATCTGTGCACTGATACTACAGGATGGACAGCCATAGTCAGCATATGGTTCTGACTGGCATATCTGGGATTGAACTAGTGCCTCAGTAAACAACTGAAGCTTCCTCTTGTCCTGTTTTGGTGTTTTGCTTGCAGGTTTCCATGATTTGGTGCAGTTACTTCAAGTATTCGTTAGCAAACAGAGAGCAAGATGCTCAGTTGGTACAGCACTGTGTTCAGGATTTTGTAATCATCCTGAAGCTTCCTGGTTTATTTGCTGCAGAAGAGATTCATGCATGTTTTCTAATGTGGTTGCAAGGTAAAATTGAATTTGCTTTCAGGCTGTTTCTGAAAAACACTAATATTTCTTTTTCTAGTTTGATTTTTGGGAGTTGGTGTACATCATGTTGAATGAGTGGTGGACTCTGGACATGAGTTACCAAGGAACAGAAAGTACATAATTGTCAATAACACACAAAGCTAATAAAGTGAGAAGGGCCCACCCCACTCCTAATCTTATTTCTTGTTTTAAAATATCTGTTTTCTTGCTCTCTATTTTTATCCCACGCTTGATAGATTACTGTGCTAGTTTAATGAAGCCATATGTTTTTCCTCTGCCTCCATTTCACTGTGCAGACTGCCAGACTGAGCCTATTGATTGATTGAGATCTATTTTATTGAGAGAAATTGTTGGCCATGGTACTAGGAACCTCCTTATCTCTTCCTCAATAGAATATGTATTTACTCTAATTTCTTACTGCAAAATCACAAGAACCTGTGCAATTATACGATGTACAGATAGGAGTACTGTGGTTTTTAATGATAATGTACCAATATAGCGCGTTTTACACAGCAGCACTTTGAGGTATGCCTATAGGTTAATGCACTGAACAATGGACTAAGTTGCCTGGGAGAGTCTAGATTATGGTGCTGGCTTTTCCAATGATTTATGAAACCTTAAGAAGGAAATTGCTCTCATTTATTCCTTAGATTTCTGAGTCAGCAAAACAAGAATTATCTGTTGACTGGGAATAACTATTAAAAGTTTTTTTCTTATAATGGACAAAATTATACAAAATACCCATGACTACTGTGAATTTTATATGTTGCGTGTACATACAGTGGTTGTACTCTATGTAATGTATGTATACAAGTACATGTATGTGAGTGTATGTACTTATAAGTGTGTGTATATGTGCTTACACATATACACATATGTGTAACATAGCACTGAAAAGGGAAAGTAATAGTCAGAAAGCTATGTAGTAGCACAAAGATATACCATGAAAGCATTTAGGAAAACAAATGATCCATTTAAATTGGAGGATGCATGACAGCATTGCTTAAATAGAAATGTACCCATTTTTAAGTTAGTATCCCTACTCTAGCGTGGGATTTAATGGATTCTATCTGCATGTGAAAGGTATCATCTTCACTTCAGTATTCCCCCTTGCAAAATGCTGGGATACTGATTGTTCAATGTTTATTAAAAATGATGAATGACCTTATGTGACCACAAGCGCCATATTCTTCATCAATTCCTGCTTGATGGTTTTGGGCTTCTCTCGTGTATGTATCAACAGTATTATGTTGCTTAGCCTGCAAAATTAAACTGGCACTTCAGAAACAGGAGTCTGTACTGTGGCTAAAGGAGCCAGCTCTGTGTAACTGGAACAGTGACTGTCCATGTTTCTGGACCCTCTGATGTAAAGGTGACAAACCTTTTCTGTATAACATGTAAGAAGAACTTGCTTGTGTCGCACCATGGACTGAAAACATTCCCCATGATAGCGGCTTGGATTTTAAGTGGGTAAAAGTTTTCCTTTCATTTCCTTTCATTAATTCCTTTTCTTGGCACATACAACAGTTTGTTTTTTCCAGTGGTGATGGGGCACGTGGGGCGAAGGGGCAGTGGGTGCTGCGGTTCCCAGGCGGGGGCCATGTGCGGCATCACTCTGTGCTCTCCTCCCTGCTTGAGGTCCCTGGCGCTGGCACAGGGCTTCAGAAAGCAAGTACAGTGGACTAGAGTAAGCTTTAATTCCATTTGTCTTTAGGCTCAAATTTGAAGTTGGGTTGGAATGTATTGATCTTTTGAATTCTTTTATTCTCATTTTGTTTAACTTCTTTCTGAACAGATTACAGAATATAGCTTCTGTTGACTAGATAAAGGGAGAAAATAAGACTGTGTATGTGCACTGATATATTTATTCCCATGCAAATCATTTCTTTGCCAAACAGACCAGCAAAACCAAAAAACATACTGGGAGAGCAATAAAATAAAAATTTAGATGGAAGTGAGATTTCATTTGTTTGCCAGGCAAACTGTAAGCCTGAGGCATGCTGCACCATTTAGCTTGGCAGGAGGTTTCTAATCCTGCAATGCATGACTTGTTGTGAGAGTGTAGTGATCTCTGATAGTTTTTGCCCTCTCAAGCTGCGTGAAGACCCCTGCGTGTGCCAGGCACAGTGACACCCAGCTGGGTGTCCGAGCCCCTGACCTTCCCTGGCATTCACCCGTGTCTGTCTTTGTGTCACGCTTTCATGAGAGTCTGCTCTGTTACATGAATAAAGGTGAAATTGCTGACATCATGCTGCTGCTTGGGTTCTATTGATATATATATATATATATATTTCAGGCTGTAAGGGAGTTAACTCTGAAAGAAGATAGGTGATAGAATAGTTAAATACAACAAAGTGAAGCAATATTTCACAGTGCAATTGGTAAAGAGATGTTTCTTTAGCATCTTTATTGGGAAAATAAACATTTGGTTTGGAGGTCTCTGTTGTACTGTGCAAAAAAAATCATTTAAAATAAGGCATAACTTCTGAAGGGGTATTGCCTCAAATCATGGAGGCCTATTTAATTTGTTTGTACATAAAGAATTTGAAAACTTGATAGGGAAAATCCCTACATTGTAGCGGGTGTGATTATATTCCAGAAGTTAAGGAACTGTATGATCTTATAGTACAACATGAATTCTTTTTGTTGTCCCCTCCTAACCTTCTTCCCCTTTCCCCCCCGACATTAGTGAGCTTTTGGGTATGCTTTTTCTTTCCTTAATGACAATATGCATCTGGGTACAGCTGTAGATTTATGCAAAAAAAGTCACAAAACCAAAGAAACTGCTTCTGTCCTGTTAACAAGGTGCTAAAGAGAATGAATGAGAGTAAGATCCTAAGTTGTCTTCTAGATGTCATGCGGTTTCCTTCAGAGAACAGAATTTTGTGTGTTTGAAACAGAAGAAGGGAGCTTCAGATGTCTTCATGACACTTCACTGTCTTTATTTTGTTTTCTATGCTTTTAATATTGGAGTTGTATGTTGCTTTACTCTTACAGTGCTGAAAACTACGCATGGCTGCAATGAACAACATACATAACAAACTGAATCTCACAAATCTAAGATGGGGAACGCATGGCTGCAATGAACAACATACATAAACTGAATCTCACAAATCTAAGCTGGGGAATTTCCCCCTTTAGAGTGTCTAATCCAAGAATCTGGTGAATAGCAATAATTTACAGTTGCCTCTTAGAAGTTTTGCTCTCTGAATATATCTACACCTGTGTGAAAGCAAATGAAGAGGAAAACATAAAATACAAGAGAGGGTATGTGTGGCCCACATAGCGAGATGAGACTGCTCTTGGCAGGGACTCTTGGTGGGGGACTGGAGAGGTTAATTACAAAATTACCATTGCATCAAGCTCAGTCTAATACCAGCTGCACAATACAATTTATCTACATTCTTTATCGGTATATATCTAGTCTACGCTTACTGCTTATAATACTTCCTTTTTAATATTTATCTCTGTTCTACAGATATTTTACTTAGTTGTATAGCTCACAGTTAGTAGCAGAGTGATTTACTTGTAAGGTGCAATTGATAAGATAAGATGTACAGCTAATTTCCTTCCTTTTTGTAGTCATCCCTTGTGGATAGATGCATAATGATGTGCTGTGTATTGCAGAGAATGCCACCAGCCTATTGCTTTTCATGTTTTAGGAGTTTCTGTAAAGTATGAGCTAGACTTGAGCTTTTTACTTGCCTCCTTTTCTAGGGTTTGATGCCTATTTTACCTCACGTACCCTGGAGAACAACAGAAGGAACGTGTGGTTTGCAGAGTACTGGGAGGAGAACTTCAACTGCAAGTTAACGATCAGTGGATCAAAAAAGGAAGACACTGATCGCAAATGCACAGGTAATTTATTTCACTTTACCCTTCTCATGCTGCTCTACGTGGCCTGCATAGCTGATGCAAGGGAGCTTGTCAGAGGCGGATTGAAAAAATAAATTGAATTTTGGAAGGTTGTAGAGAAAATGGAACAGCAGCATAAGCCTTGCAGGACAAGAGCAGCAGTTGGAGAGAGACAAAATTACATTCTTGCATTTCTATTTCTTCTTTTCCACCTAGAAGGAAAATCAGTATTTTTCTTCAGGCCCAGAAATACTTTTATTTAAATATAGGGTGACTGGCGGATGGGTTGGAGGTGTCCTTGTTTAAATAAAGTGTATTTTTAGAACTTCTATCTTGTGATTTTGAACATTTGAATTTGAAAATTTAGGGGAAATACTCCCATAGGAACGTATTAGCACAGAATTAAATGTTTTAATTTTAGATAAAATTCAAGTTGTTGATCAGATTTTTGTTCTGATTACTGTTATTTTAAAACTGAGAGCTAAATAGATTCTTGCAGCTTCTACAAAGCAACATAGAAAATCCAGTGTTTGTGTTTGTAGCTATGTTTTTTCATAGTGTCCTGTTTGAGCACCATTATTTTCTAATGACTATCAGATTCGCTCCTCTTTATGAGCTATCTCTTAACATTCTAATATCTGAAGTATAATATTTTGCATAGTTCTGTTTCTAATCACGGGCAGATCCAGAGAATTTGTTTTAGTTAGAACATAGCTAAAATAGAAGTGGGTCTGATTTCATAACAATTTGCAGTGTCTCTTCTTCCTCAGGATAGCACATTTTTTAGACTAGCTGGCAGTGTTACTCTGCTGCTGAACTCAGTCTGGATAATAATTTTCAATTGAATTCTTAAAGCAGATTAGGAACTATTGTACGGTCTGCCCCCAAATACTACTGGGTCATCTGGCTATGCTGAGAAGCCAGTGCTAGAGGCATCTGAAACATACCCGGGGATGTCTCAGTTAAGAATCTGGCTGAAAATATTTGATTGATACAACTGTGTTTTTGAGAACATTTTTGATTTAATATGACTGCAGCAATGTTAGGTTTTTAAAGAGTTACGAATTGAGCAGCACTACTGTCCTCGTGATGCAGAGTGATATAATTCATTGGACTAAAGTCTCTATTCCCATGCTGCATGGGTATGCATGTGCCCAAGTGCAGTCAAATGATCAGTAGAAACAGCAGAAGGCTGCCAGTTCAGCTTCTGCTCAATGAAGGAGTTAGACCGAGGGGATCTTGTCTAAAGAAATATTTTTAAAACTCAAATATTTAGGGAGTCTGTCCTCAAACTGCAGCGAGCATTGATTTGAAGTGTAACCATTCTTAGTATGTTGAATTGGAATATTTTCTCAGGATTTAAAATGTAGTGTATGATTTTCAGACAGAAATTAAGTTTAAACACATTTTGGCCAATAATTTCATTCATTTTAAAGTTGCAAGTCTGGGAGGAAAAGCAGTAGTTCATTGTACTAATAAGAGACTGATTGATGCATGATGAGATGGCTCAATTAGCTCGAGTTGTGCATTTACAAAAACACTCCTACATTTCCCAGAGGACTACCCAAGCTTTATAATTGCTTTCCTTAGAAATAAGCAAGCAGTTTCGTGTCTCCTTGATCTGAATAGAGCTAGCCTTGACATTAAAAATAGCTGACAATATTACAGACTTTTCACAGAACGTTTTCCTTAGGGTTTGCATAGACTTACCAGTCATATTCGTTATCTCCTGTATAAAATAAACGAAGCCATTTTATTATTAAGTCATAAAATATCCGTGCCCTTCCACTCTTCATACCAATAAAGTGTTGTATTCAATAATAGTGTTCAATTTTGATCAAAGAAAATGAGTTCATAGCACAATATATTTTGCTTTGGTTGAAACTTGATCAATAATCTCATTTTTTACATTGGCTGCTCTTGGTTTCCATTCATGGAGGGTAGTGGGCGTGCTGTGCATAGGAATAGTGCAGGTACAGGTGGGAATATGTTGCCAGTAAATTCAACAATTGAAACCCTACCTGAAGGTTGGAATTTGACTAGGAATCATTAAAATATCTTTAAGATAATTGCAGAAAGTGTTACTGTTTATGCCTTTATCTTGTTACAGAAGAGGATGAATTCTTTGCAGTTTGTGCTTTCTAATGTGAGCACCAAGGTGGCATTCTGCCTTCCCTCAGCAGCTTCAGCAGAAATACTTAAGTTTTTGATGGCTAGCCGTTGAACTGAAGTATCACATTATAGCTAGATATTGCACCAGGTGACTTGCACTGCCCTTGGTCATCTTTCTTTTCTCTTGTACAAACTGAAGTAAATTGTGCATCAGAAAAAGCATTAATGTTGAATTATACTGCCAATATGAGATTCTTAATGTCCCACTGATGTAATAATATTATGAATTATCATCATCACTCTTTTAAAATTTGATTGATAATTTGTAAGGCAGTCAGGTCCTGGGCTGTGGGCCATCAGTTTGACAGGAGTGGAGTTGCAGAGTGCTCGTGTGAGACATGGGAAGCTCATTCATGCTGGGGCTGTTGCACTTGATGATTCCCTGTTCCCTGGGTCAGTTTAGAGGATGGGGTGGATGAGGCTGGAAACCTGCTCACTCCCCAGCTTATCTGTCAGAGTTGCCCACTTGGCAAAGAGGAGAGCAGGGTTTCAGACCCTGCACCAAAAAAATATAAAATCAGAATTTTCAAGTCTTGCTTAAGAGCTCTGTAGCCAGAATATTGTTGGGTTATTTTTATTTTCCTGAAAGCTAGAATAAAACTGAAAACATACCATTTTTCTATGAAATTCTTTAAGTTGTTTGGGAGGAGGAGAGCACTGACTTTGCTTATTCATACAAAAAAAAAGTGAAGTAGCTTCAGGCTTGTATTTCCTGAGCCTCTGCATATGGTTTATACCTATGAATATTAGACATACTTGTAACAAGTTACATCTGTTGAGCACATATTTTCAGAAAAGCTGTTTGAATTACTGTGTCTTAGTAAAAATGTTTTTATAGAAAAGAATTAACATAAAGTAATTTTCTTTGTATTAGAGGAATAATATTGCAGTTAATAGTTGTGATTCTGCAGAGAACCATGCTATCTGAACTCCCCCTTGCACAGTATTCCTCACAGAAATCAGCCTGTGTTTTGATTATGAGCTTGACAGAAGCTTTTGCATTAAACTAACCCACATGCTACTAATGCTCTCAGTGCTTTGAGATTTATCGATGGAGTTAGAATTAGCAGATGATAAAACGTTTTTTTTTTCTTTATGTGGATATGCTACAAACTGGAATGAGCACAGTTTTCCAAGAGGTGATTGAGATCAGATATGCACCGCAGGGGATAGGTAATGCTGCCTTGCACCCAAACGTGTCCGTGTGGGCGGCGCTGCTGAGCTCCAGGCTGCTGGGCTGGGGACGGGCGTTGACGCGGGGGCCTCCCCGGCGCCGTCTGCGAGCGGCGGCTGCCTCGGCCCCACTGTCTGCTCGGTTAGAAGGAAGCCCAAAATACCTGTGCTGGCCAAATTCGGTGACTGACAGCGGGTTGGATAGCTTCAGGTGCATCTTGACCTATTCTGCAGCAGGAAATAAAAACATAAAGCAATTAAGGAAAATTTTACATAAATAAGCATCATTTGTATGGTATTTAGCACCAGTGGAAATTATAATAGCAATGTCTTTGTATGTGAATATAAATATTTCCTTCTACATCAGAAGCACCTGTGCTCACTGGTGGCATAAGGAGGTGTTCCCAAAAGAGAAATGCAGTTACTCAACTGCGCGGAGGTCTCCACTATGCACAGAAAGACAATGCACACAGGAGGCAGTCCATAGCAATGCAATACTGACTGAAAAGGAAATTGCAACACTTGACTGTTTTCACTTGTTAAATATAGTTTTTAATTCAAATAGTTTTACACATGAGGAGACTTAATGAAGTGGTAGAAGTGTGATGTCATCTATCAGAATGTAGATTACTCAGAGCTTTTTCTAATTATCTGCCAGTGTAATCAGTCTGAAGATGATGGCTCAAGCAATGAGTTGCTCTAAAGAAAATGTTGGGGAGAAGCTCCTTACAAAGAAGTGAAAGAAATTTAGCAAAGGGGTTTGCAACAGAGCGAGTGTTGGGTTTAGAATGTAAAGTGGAGTAGAAAAAATTCTAAAGACCCACATTTACTTTTGTGCTTAGTTTACAGGCTTGCAAAGAGTGTAGATAGGAAGAGTGTGAGGATTCCAGTATTTGGTTTGCTCGTGCGTACTGCACTGATAAGTGTCTCTTGCAGTCTTGTTTAATCCAATTCATGTGCTGTGCAGATTGGGAAGTGAACTTGCAAATTAGACTGTGGTGTGGGATCTCTGAGTAGGGCCTTTGTCTCGAAGACCATGGCCATGTTTGTATGGAAAAGTAACAGAAAAAGATGGAGTAAGGTGTAGGGACAAGACAACATGACTTGCTCTGCCAGCAGGGTTTTACTGGGCAAAGCTCCAAAAACCTGAATCAGTTTTCAAATGTAACGAGCACGAAGAAAAGGCGTTCTGAGACCTGAATTTAACTCCCTTAACTGCAGATCCTAGCACAGTGGTTCAAATTACCTTGAAAGAAGCACCCATCTCAGTCTCCTTTGGCTACCCGAGGTGTCTTGTGCTTAATTTAAATCGGATACGCAGCCATCAGGAAGCAGCAGTCAGATGAGCACTGTGAATTCCAGAGCGAGGCGTTTTTGCACACATGCGCATGCCCTTCTGAAGGTGCAGAGAGAACAACTAGTGCTCTGAAGGGTGTCAGAGGCCTAAAACAAGATTGGCAGATGTCCTGTCCTGTATCCCAGTGCACTGCAGATACAACGGTTATTTATAGTGGGAATAAAAGGTCAGATTTCCATCAAAAAAAGAAAAACAGCAAAGCAGTAGTTGTCATACATACTTATATTTGACAGTGAAGTTGTGAACATGTTGTGCATTTGTCAGTGTTTCCTGTAGCTGGTTTTGTATGAGAGAGGATTTA